CTACCACCAGGAACTCCGGGGTTTCAACATCACATGGCATAGTCAGAGTGTCAGCTTTGGAAGCTATATTGACACCCAACGCTTCCACACTGCCACATTCTTGAGCCTGGGAAAATGGGAGGGGGGAATTCCTTGGAGTGTATGTGGTTAGGCATAATAGCATTCTTTTTCTAAGTCAAGGTCATGTTCTTTCTGCACCTGGGTGAGGGGACGTCTCAAGTTGGGACAGATGGTGATTGGGGCATGTGATGCAATGATTGGTGCAGGGGGGTGGATTTGTAGTTTTTACTTATTGCAAGGAAGCCCAGAACTTTCAGATTCGGGATTCTCCAGATGTGCCAGTTTACTATCCAAAGAAAACATTACTTTTGAGAAGATGTTTGTCTCAGAGTTATTGTTTGGAGTGGAGGTTTTCCGGACTGCTGACACAGAGATTAGTATCAAACTTATAAAGAGCCATGGTGGCGCAGTGGTCAGAATGCAGTACTGCAGGCTAATTCACTGCTCACTGCCAGGAGTTCAATCCTGACCTGCTCAAGGTTGACTAAGCCTTCCATCCTTTCGAGGTGGGTAAAACGAGGACCCAGATTGTTGCGGGGGGCAATATAGTGATTTTTGTAAAACACTTAGAGAGGGCTGTAAAGCGCTGTGAAGCAGTATATAAGTCAAAGTGCTATTGTTATTAAGGGACTGTAGTGAAATGCTGAAGACTTAAAAGGCTGAATGCAGGAAAGGTACAGTAGTGTGCACAAACCTTTCTCATCTAGGGTTCCCCAGAGAGGAAACGCAACCCCCATCCTGCAATGCCTGTTGGCTGTATTCTCTTAGGTTGGTGATGGTGCAGATGCCCAATGGGTGTTGTGGCCTGTGGGCCGCCGGCCCCTTCAGCAGCCAAATCGGAGGAGGAGGCGGTGTGGGAGTCGAAGTCAGCATCAAGGCAACCTGAGAACTCCAGGGGGGAGGAAGGAATGGAGCTGGCAGAGATAGAGACAAAGGCGGAGCCTGGGCCATCTACCAGCCCTCAGATGGAGAGCCAACAGCCCCCAGATCTGGAGGTAGCTGATGAGGAAGAGGAGGAACAGCTGGGTCTAGTGCCTGATGTGCATATGCGCAGAAGGCAGAGGAGAGGAGAGCAGTGGAAATCTATGGGCCGGTCCTTGGGACGGAAGAGCCACCACTGCTAGCAAAGCCCCACCCTAGCTTTGGGGATAAAAGGCAGGGGGCGGAGATGAATAGACGTGGCAGACAACTGTTCAATCTCTCTGCTGGACAGACTTGTTAGCCTGTGGTGAGAGAGAATTTTTTTTCCCGGGACTGCTGACATTCCTAATAAAGGAATCATTGATTTAACTTAAGAGGATTTGTCGTGTTTGAGAGCCAGGTCAGAACAATGGGAAGTTGCTCCTCTAAGAGCATTAGAAGTGGCTCTCTAGCCCCCTTCTGTGCAGGTTGGTGCAAAATTGGGATAGAAAGCTTGTTTATTTTTTTCCCCCATCTCTCAATGGTGCAGAGAGTTGAACTCGGCAACCTTGCTTGGATATCATTTGCTTTTCTGGTGATGGTGGTGGTTTATCACGTGCCAGACATGCAATGGTTCTATTTATCTCTCCTTGGAGTGACTGGTTAGTTACTTAGGATTATGTGCCATGCTTAGTTAAACTTCCCTAGCCATGCGTGAATTGGGTTGGGATTTTCCAAGTCCACCAATCATCCAGGAGGTTTTCATGCTGCGCAACTGGCTTCACTTGCTCATACAGGCAGGCCTCGACTTACGACCACAATTTCTGTGGCTAAGCGAAACATTTGTCAGGTGAATTCTGCTCCATTTTTACCACCCCTCTTGCCACCGTTGTGAAGTGGATCACTGCCGTTGTTAAGTTAGCATCCTGGTTGTTAAGTGAGCCTGGCTTCCCCACTGACTTGGCTCTTCTAGCGGTCGTAAAAAGGGGATCCCATGCACTTGGGACTCTGCAACGGTCATAAATATGAATCAGTTGCCAAGGGTCCGAATTTTAATCGCATGAGCCTGGGGATGCCGCAGTGGTTGTAAGTGTGAAAAATGGTCATAAGTCACTTCTTTCAGGGCCGTTGTAACTTTGAATGGTTGCTAAATGAGCTGTTGTAAGTTGGGGACTACCTGTACAGTTTACAAATGCTCAATATGATTCAAAGGGAGAGATGAACTGAGAATGGACGTCTCTGAGTTTAGTTAAGTTGGTGTTTCCCAATATTGGCAATTGTAGGATGTCTGGACTCCAACTCCCAGAATTCCCTAGTTAGCCCGGCCCAAGATGTCACCTCAGCAGAGAAATCTATAGGGATGGGAGAATTCTGGGAGTTGAAGTCCACAAATCTTAAAAGCTGCTACGTTTAGAGATTACTCCTCATTACCAAAGCAACGAGAAGAAAATGTATCTTACATCCAAGACAAGTAGAAAGCACGTATTGTGAGCAACTCCAGACAGATCATTTGTGCAAGTGTAAGAAGGGGAAGATGTGTAGCACAGTCAAATTTGCAAGCTTCTGTTATTAGAAGTTACTCTCGATAAAAATAGTTTTAGTCCATCTGTGGAGTTAAATCCTGTCTGATCTACTACTACTAAGAACTTTGCTTTGACTACTGAACCTATGGACTTAAATAGAGGGAGTCAAGCTATTCTCCAAAGCACCTGAGAGCAGGACAAGAAGCAATGGGTGGAAACTAATCCAGGAGAGAAGCAACCTAGAACTAAGGAGAAATTCCCTGACAGTCAGAACAGTTAATCAGTGGAACTACTTGCCTCCAGAAGTTGTAAATGCCCCAACACTGGAAGTTTTTAAGAAGAGATTGGATAGCCGTTTGTCTGAAGTGGTGTAGGGTTTCCTGCCTAGGCAGTGGGTTGGACTAGAAGACCTCCAAGGTCCCTTCCAACTCTATTAATCTATTCTATTCTAAATGTTCAACCTCCTTGCTGGAGAAAATAATGTGTATGTATGTTTGTTTGTATGTATGTATGTGTATACATATATACACACACAGATACACACATACATACGGTACAATATTGCATGGAATTCCATCAAACATTATAAACCTAGAACTACTGAAAGAAAATACATTTCTCTTTGTATAGAGTAGTGGCCGTTATTGTTGGAATGTACATTATTCCACCCCTGTCTGCTTTTAATACGTGCTCCTATCCTGTTAGACAGGTTTATCCTTGCTTATACTTGCTCGGTATTCCTCTACGTTCTTACTGAGTCTTTCTGCCTTTTTGGATTAATTGCGCTCTCCTTCATCCTTCTTATGTGTTTAGCTGTGTTGAAAGCTAATAATAAGACCTCATAGCTTCCTTGTATCAGTTAAGGGAAATTTTATACTTGGGAGGTGAAAGCCCTACAAAACTTGCATATCCAAAATTGGAAAGGGCCGAGAAAAAAAATGCAATGTTTTTATGCCATGGTATTGTTCAGTTATTCTTTACATGCTCTGCAAAACTTGGTTCCAGGTACGAAACAGCAGGTCCACTTGTGAAGTCCAGTTAAACTGATATATATTAATAAAAAGCCTTTGCAGAAGACTCTTGTCATCTACTAGAATAGAGTAGAGTAGAGTAGAGTATAGAGTAGAGTAGAGTAGACTAGAGTAGAAAATTGAATGGAATAGAATAGAATGTAGAAATAGAAATAGAAGTAAAATAGAAGTAGAAATAGGAATAGAAATAGGAAAAGGAATAGGAATAGAAATAGGAATAGAATTTTGTATTGGCCAAGTGTGATTGGACACACAAGGAATTTGTCTCTGGTGCGTAAGTTCTCAGTGTACATATTAGAGTTAGATAAGGTTGGATGGAATTCCAGTGGATGTAGACAGCTTGTGGTACTTAAGGATTCTAGACTGATCCCTCTTTAAGGGGTCTTTGGGGCTGTCTGAGCTTGGTTGTTTCCCTGCAGGCATTTCATTATCCAAACTAGATAACATCATCAATGCTAGTCTGATGCACTGATGATGTTACCTAGTTTGGGTAATGAAATGTCTGCAAGAAAACAACCAAGCTCAGAGAATGTGAAGAGCTCCTCGTTTTCAACCCCGAGCTACACATATTCCCTTTTATTGATCCTCTGTTTTAAACTCCACCCCAGGTCCTGTCATTCCTTCCCATACACTTGCGATCTTTTACCCGGTCAACTAACCCAAGATGAATAAAGTTACTCAAAAAACAAACAAACTGGCCATTCATAGAAAAAACCTTCAAATGTCCATTTTATCCCACGTCTTGATTTTACACAATATTCGTGGGATGTTTTTAGGATGTCTGTGACTTAGAAAGGAAGGGAGTAGTCCTCCTGCAACTTTTATAGCCATCATACTATAAAGGAGTGGTGTTGATGCATGTCTGTTTACTTGGCAGTGACTTTGTTACAACAAAAGGGAGACTTTTAAAGCAAAAGCAGGAGAATAGGGGCATCTTAAATGATAAATAACGAAGTTTCAGTATGTCCCAAGAATCTTTATTGCTTTTGCACAATTTTAGTGACTGCTGTATGAGATTTGTATCCTCTTCCATTTGATAAAAAAGTATGTTAGTGAACATAATTTCTAATCAAACAGAAGAGGATACCTATCTCATACAGCAGTTACTAAAATTGTGCACTTGCTAACAAGTTAATGTAAGACAGTTACATCTATATAGCTTTAACCTTGTTAGCAAGTGCCAATACTTGGTCCAACTTGTCTGGACGTGAAGCTAAGCTAGGCTTAGTTAGTCTTTTGCTGGAAGATCACATACAAATTCCAGAGCTGGGAAATTTAAAAAAAAAAAAGTCCTGGAATCTGGAGAAAAATCATGCTCATTTCCTTATAGTCACCAAGAGTCAAGCTTGACTCAAGTTCTAGCTTTCCAAACTAGGTTTGTGTAATTATCAGGTTACGTTAATCAGGCATTGTTATAGCCTTGAGTCTCTTTGTCTTAAACATATTACAAAGCGTTTGTTAATTGGTTTGGAACTTGTACTTTCAGGTAGTCCAGCCTTGACACCCAGAAACCTGACATCCTCTAGTTTGAACGACATCTCTGACAAACCTGACAAGGAGCAGGTAAGTTTCAATTTTCTGGCCATCGGTGTCCTCTTCTAAAAGGAGTACCAAGAGTGTCTATGACGCAGAAGAATGAGAATGTGAGGACAAGAATGGAAAGAGATTTGAACTGTTGCTTATTGTTATCTATAGAAGCCATTACAGTACTTGATTTGTTTTGTTTTGGCTTAAGATGATGTGATATAGCTAATTTATAGAGCTGCGGTGGCGCAGTGGTTAGAATGCAGTATTGCAGAGTAATTCTGCTGACTGCGAACAGTTCGATCCTGAGTCAAGGTGACTCATCCTTTCATCCTTTTGAGGTCAGTAAAATGATTGTTGGGGGCTGTATGATGATTTTGTAAATTGCTTAAAGAAGGCTGTTAAGCACTGTGAAGCGGTATATAAGCGCTATTTCTTTTGATATTATTTGTAGAGATACTTTTCACTTATGAATTTTTCTTGGCTTGGGGGTTGAATGTTCTGAAATTCCCACCCGTTCATTGGATGGACAAGTCACCTCCTTTTCCTGTTAATTCTTGCTCTGACTTCTTTTACCTCCAGCTGTTACTGTCAGATTGATCCAACTCTCTTTCTCTGAATGTCACTCAGTTCTGTTCCATTGCTTTAAGTAGCTTTTAGGTATTTCTCATCTAGCTCTGTTGAATATCTCTTTTAGCTGTAGCTGTTTATTCAGTTGATTTTTTTTATATATGTATGCATCATGTTTAGATGCATTTTTAAATATTTTTATTAAAGAGCCGTGGTGGCACAGTGGTTAGAATGCAGTACTGCAGACTACTTCTGCTGACTGCCAGTTGCCAGCAGTTCAGCAGTTCGATCCTGACCAGCTCAAAACTCAGCCTTCCATTCCTTTCAAGGTTGGAAAAATGAGGACCCAGATTGTTGGAGGCTATATGCTGATTTTGTAAAAAGTTTAGAGGGGGTTGTAAAGTACTGTGAAGCGGTATATAAGTCTAAGTGCTATTGCTATTAATTTGCTTTTATTGGAGAAGTATATTTCTATTTTTAATTCTACTTCTACTGATCTAAATCATTAACCAGTCCCTCTGTTTCTTCTAATTTCAGCCAAATTCTGCTAAGAACTTTGGAATGCAATTTAATTTAAGTTAATTCAGTTTTGACTCAGATTTCAACTTTGAGTAGAGGAATCTGTCTTTTGGATTCTTTGAAATGAATAAGCATCAATTTTAAAAGAATTCTTAATTTGGCTCCATGGAACACAGGAGATAGACTGTAGTATGAGATAGTCATTCATCTGATATTTTGTACAGGTTGTCCTCAACTTACAACAGTTCATTTAGTGACCATTCTAAATTACAATGGCAATGAAAAAAGTGACTTATGACCATGTGATCAGAATTCAGACGCTTGGCAACTGACTCATATTTATGACAGCTGCAGTGTCCTGGCGTCATGTGATCACCTTTTGTGACCATCTTATGAGCAAGGCAGATTCATTTAACAACCGTGTTACTAACTTAACAGCTGCAGTGATTCACTTAACAGCTGTGTTCAAAAGGGTCATTAAAATGGGGCAAAATTTGGTTCACTGTCTCGCTTAGCGACAGAAATGTCAGGCTCAGTTATGGTCATAAGTCAAGGAACTACCTGTACCCCGTGACATATTCTTGCTCAGGTTCAGCGCTCGTAATGGCGTATCTCAGCTTCAACTCCCATAATCCACAGCCATCCTGCTGATGTTGGAGAACCAAGTGGCGGGAAAACTGAATTCACTAATATTTTTCATCATTCTGTGGATTAAATTACTGGTTTTAATCATCTGTCAGTTCTCCAGTTAAGAGTTGAGATACTGTGTCCGTGTTCTATAAAGAAACAGAGTTTTCTGCTCTTTTTAATGACTGTGTGACTCTAATGGGAATTGTCTTCATGTACCGTACTGGATTGAGAAGTAAAAGAATCTTCAGCACAGTAAGATAGTAACTAGGATCCGAGTTAATATATATTCTAGCAAGGTCTTATTAAGCAAAAAATAACACTCGTCATCTAAACTTAAATTGCTGGAGAGGCAGTTTTTTTCCTTCTTGGTTTTTTTTTTGTGTGTGTGTGATTTTATGTTCCTTCAATAATTTTCCTTCTTCCATTCCTAAACTGCATGAAGGTTAAGCAGTTTATTGATTATGTTTATATTTTAAACATGCAATATTACATCTGCCAAACGCCAGGGAAGTCAGGGTGTCTAGAGTATAAAGATTTACAGGTAATCCTCAACTTACGACCACAGTTGAGCCCAAGATTTCTGTTGTTAAGTGTTGTGGTTCGCACGCAGCAGGCACGGATGGCCAAGGTCTCAGAGAGCAAGGGCTCAGATGAGGGTCCTGTGTGTGATGCAGGGATGGGGCCAGGACCCTCAGGGAGTGGAGTGCTGCCTTTGGAGATTGTGGAGGCTGGCAGCAGTGATGAAGAGGACCCCGAGGAGCCTGTGCTCAGTGTGCGTGTGTGCAGGGCTCCTCGAAGGAAAAAGCAGTGCAGCAGCACGGGTGACTCGGGAGTAAGGCTGCAAGGTAATGGCCCCTCCCTTAAGAGAGAAAAGCCAGGTGAGAAACCGGAGTCCTTTGCAGAAAGCAAAGAAGTTCTTGCACTTCAAGCCTTGTCGGTGTTTGGAATATCTTGGTTGGTGTTTGGAGACTGTTTGTGTTTGAAATATTTCTTAGTAACTTAATCTAGTCTTCTTGGCAGCCTTTCACCACCTTGGCAAGGCTCGTTCTTATCAGAGACAATTAGTGTGAAACAGTCTTTTAACCATGAAGGAACGGAACTCATAAAGAATCATTAAAAGGTTTTGCTGTTACCTCTGTTTCGTGTTTGTTTCCTTGGAACAAGGTTTGGGTCAGAACATTAAGCGAGACACTTGTGAAGTGAGCTTTGTCCCATTTTACAACTTTTTTTTTGCCACAGCTGTTAAGTGAATTTCTGAAGTTGATAAGTGAGTAACCCGGTTGTGAAATGAATCTGGTTTCCACACTGACTTTGCTTTGTCAGAAGGTCAGAAAAAGGGGATCACGTGACCTTTGGACACAGCAAAGGTGATAAGTATGAACCAGTTGCCAAGCACCTGAATTTTGATCACATGATCATGAGCATGCTGCAAACTATAACTATGAAAAATGGTCTGTGAAACTATGAAAAACGGTCATAAGTCACATTTTTCAATGCCCTCGTAACTTTGAATGGTCACTAAATGAACTGTTGTAAGTCGAGGACTACCTGTATTGCAAGCTTATAAGAATCTGCAATACTAACGGTCAAAGCAAGTTGGCGGTAGATAAGATTCAAAGGAATTCAAGATGGGCTGGACTTAGATCTACTGTGGGTACGAAGGGACTCGAGACTGATGACACGTTTCACCCCTCCCACGGTCTCAGCCTGGCTTTTTTTCCTACAATATCACTTGATAGCACTGAACGTTTTCTGTCATACAATCGGAGGTCTCGCTTACAGACTGCTTCACTCGGTGACTGAGATTCCAGTCCCAATTGTGGTCGTAAGTCAAGGGCTTCCAGTAACTGCAGTCAGAATTTCTCTTCGGCTGGCGTTCAGGGTCTTGTTTGTTATATTTATAAATGGAAGATTGATTATGAAATGGTGATTTATTAGGGGATAAAGAATGGGTGAAGCACAGAATTCCACACGCTGTGCTGTTAAGTAGAACAGCAGGAAAGGAATCAATTCTTTAAATAAGTTGTAGGAAAAACAGAAACCAACAATCATGTTAGGCACAAAAAATCAAGTCCACAGGTGAAGGTCCAGTTAAAACTAATTTATTGCTACTCACGCCTATGCATGGGAATATTCTCAACAAATGAATAACACTTGTTTGGAGTTAGATCAGGGTCCATGGAATTCAAGGGAGGCTGGAATTAGCCTGCTTGTGGCCACAAAGGGATTCTAGGCTGATCCCTCTTTTAATTCCACCTCCACTGTCTTAGCACTCCTCCTTCTACAAGGCACTTCCAAAATATGAAGACAACAAGACACTAAAAATGTACCCAGCACTTTCTGGGAAATGCCTTTGTAGTATCTTAATGTTTAGCCTTGATCATCAGGTTTCAGACTTTGATTTTCAGAAAGCCTCTTAGGCACAATCCAGAGAGGGAGGTTGTGTGCGTGGTTGTTTGGAAACTGAAGTCAGGGTTGCAGCTGGTGAGATAAAGGCAAGAGACATTGACAGGGTGGAAGCAAATAGATTTTAGGCAGAGTCTGCCATAAAATGGTAGTCTGACCGAATCAGGTCTTTATTTTTAGAAGGTGGAGTTCAGATCATAGAATGAGGAGGAGGAGGAGGAGAATGGGAAGAGGAGGAGAAGAGGAATGGGAAGAGGAGGAGGAGAGGAATGAGAGGAGGAGGAGGAGGAGAAGGAGGAGGAGAATGGCAAGAGGAGAAGAATGGGAAGAGGAGGAGGAGAGGAATGGGAAGAGGAGGAGGAGAGAGGATGAGGAGGACAGAAATGGGAAGAGGAGGAGAAGGAGAGGAATGGAAGAGGGAGGAGGAGGAGGCGGAGAGAGGAGGAAGAGAGAGGAGGAGGAGGACAGAAATGGGAAGAGGGGGAGAAGGAGAGGAATGGGAAGAGGAAGAGGAGGAGGAGGAGAGAGGAGGAAGAGAGAGGATGAGGAGGAGAGGAATGGGAAGAGGAGGAGAAGGAGAGGAATGGGAAGAGGAGGAGAGAGGAGGAGAGGAATGGGAAGAGGAGGAGGTTATTTGTGGAAACTCAACCAGAAGAAAAGTATGGTGTTTTGGTGTGGTAGTGGAATACCAAACATACTCCTGAAAGCCTAGAATTCAAGACATGTAGGGAAATAACTAATCTTGACCACTATTGGCCTTCCTGGTCAGAAAACAATGGAAGTTACCCTTGATTAAGGATCTCTTTCTATGTGTGGTAGCCAAGCATTCCTACCTATTAGGCAGCTGTGAACTCCAGGCCTCCTATAAAATCCAGTACCCTTACCTAAAATATCATTCCTGCTTGAAGTGACAA